CTGCTCAGGCTGTCGTAAATTCAATCCCCGTTTGAAATGGACGGGGATCGATCTGAGGGGAACAAATATATATAGTATAATAGGTGGTTTTGAGACATACCTACAACTAGCGGTCCTGCTTAATCTGTGTTGGCAACACTGTAGGTCACAGGTACTAACGTGTTCAGACAAGCGTATTGAGACGAACTGTCGCATTTCCAAACCCGACACCTGGCCGGATTAATAGGTACCAGAGCACTTAGGATTTATCGGGAAATTCGACAGCGTACGATGGGTCCCTGATTATTGAAAAATGTTAAAAAAATATTTAAGATTAATACCTGTTATTAAGTCTGAGTGCTGGAAAACTCATATTTTTTTCTTATAGAGTATATCCTATATAGTTAAGGAAAAACGATTTTTTATGCAACTAATGTGGCAACCAAACTACTGTCTATAGACATCATGTTATACGTAACACCCATAGTTCATGCGTGATAATCATGCGTTACCATTGCAGAGCACTAAGATATCTTGCCTAGTACCATATAACTGTACTGCAACATCTCACTTTTCAAATAAAACACTTTACAAAGCAAGCTGCTGGGCGAACTAAAAAGGTGCTATAGCTATTTATAGCATAGTGAACAAATAAACTATACACCTGTTAGTAAATTATTACCGCCGCCCATGAGCACCCACAACACTAGAGGAATTGCAAGTGCATTGGCGCTCTATTAAGATTAATAAGCTCTTTTCTCGAAGGTTTCAGTGTCGTAACGGTTCAGAAATACCAATGCTAGAAAGTGATTCCACAATGGGGTTGCGTGTGGCAAAACTGGAGACACGCACACGCACAGTAGTTTTTCAGCATTACAGCATACATATTACTGTGAATATGTAAATGCTGAAAAAAAAATAGTACACTTAACTTACAAAAAGGAAGACAAAATACGAGTAAGTACAGTCAGCCTTATCAATGAATAGTGATTTTTTCCAAGCAACCTTAGCAGTAGTAAAGTCTCTTATTTATATGATAATTCCTATTACACATATGTCTACTTATAGATGTGTTTACCTAATACCAAATTAGAAAGATAATTTAACAATAGACATTAATCATAAAGATTACCCCATACAAATACATTATATACAAAATATATCTATATTATGGTATCTTCGTATTAATAATCTTTCAGCTAAATCAAATTATTTTAGAATGAAAACACCTGTACAATTGTAAGTTATTCGGGTATTCGTACCCTATGTTAGGTATTTCTTACTCAGGCGATAAGTCGATATGTAATCAGTGATAAAAAGAGCATATTGATAATGATGACATTATACAGGTTGCTCTTCTGTTTTGAGGCTCTAACTAAAACAGAATGAAATAGTAAATTGGGTTTTAGAATTTTTTACTTCCAGTTTTAGTTTAGTTTAATTTCTAAACAATCCAAGAATTTTTAAAATACAAAAGAATGTAGTCGTGAATTAGTAATCAGTATATAACCGTCACCGCAGTGACTCCTGTTAAATACAAAAAACGTCATGAAAATTTTGTTAAGTTTTGACGACGGCTACATTGTATATACACTAAAATGTAATTAAAATATATAAATATTTGCTACCTTTCCATCCAAAACATGAATTGATAAATTAATACAAAAATTAACCTTTAGATTTAAAGAAATATAAATCTATTTTTTATTTCCGAACATATACGTGAGAACACTAATAAGTACATATATATAAATTCAATGTATATTAAGTAATTCTAATTTTGAGAAAAGATAATTTATAAAAAGCGCAGCCTGTATTATATTACCGATCCCACAAAGAAACCCGCCTATCGTCACCTCACACTATCTTACATTACCAAAGTGAGCGTCAACAAATATACTGCTAAATGATAATCATTGATTGTGTTTCTGTAAAAAAGCACTTTCAAATTTACTGCAGCAACTGTCATTATAAAGTTAAAATATATAAAATCGGTGATGTGATTAATGATACTACAATGTGCAATAGATAGTACTAATGGAGCTTGGTGAGTAATTTCTAAGAAATTATCAATAATTTGTGACTACTCAATATCAATTATCCATGGGTTCAAATTGACAATCATTTGTGAATTACTGTCTTGTCATACTAATATTATAAACGCGAGAGTTTGTAAGTATGGATGGATAGATGCTCTTTCACGAAAAGATTACGGAACGGATTTGATGAAACTTTACAGTAAAATAGCTTATACATCTGAATAACACATAGGCTACAAATTTCTTGCGAATGAAACCGCTGGCACAGCTAGTTTGTTTATATGTGTGAAAGTAAATCTTGATTTACCTATAAAAAGGCGTATTTTCTCATTTCGGCTATATACGTTCATACTACTAATACAATAAAGGCGATTTCTTAGACAGTTCCAAAATCGTTAAAGGATTTTCGGCATACATAACTGTGGCACCACTCATACGTCATTACTCCCAAAGAACAAGAACAAGGGCGTTGAAATATTGTGTCAAAGATTACACAACACATCTAATTCTTCAGAATATAATCATCATCATCACCATTATTGCATTGTCTTCATCTCATTATTTGAGGTCAAGGTAGTATGTCATCTTTTTTCAACTCTTCAGAACATAATATCGACACCAAAATTTTGTAAACATATCAATTTAAATTAGGACCGACGAGTAACTTTGCTGCACAACGCCAATTGGTTTTGAATAATACGTGACTGAGATATTAAAGATTACATATCAGAAAGTCGATTACTTATTTAAGAATATTGGAAAACCAATATTCTTATAAAATGTTCATATAACAACATCATTATGACTTGGTCTTAATTAATTTGCCACCCATTGTATATCTTTAAGAAATGACAACCACCTCTGAGCTTGTAATGATGACAATTATTTGTGAGTTAACAGTGATACTCATTTGTAAAAGATTATTTTCAATCGACATCAAAATCCATGGATTTTCAATTCGACTATATTTTACGGTATGCTTAGTATAGGCATTATCTATAACAATTCTGAAGACATTTTAATCTTTATTTTTTAATCCAATTACTGGCTTCTGATTTTATTCTATATTATTATTGTAATCATCAAAGTTCATCAAGTACTTCAATAGTCTATTACACGGAACCTGAGCTATGTCACCACTCACAAATCTAAGGCGTTAAGATTTCTCACAGATGAGATAAGTCATTTTAGTGTATTTTCGCAATACAATGAAACAAAATTCGCATATCGTCACATTACTACTGTTATTCTAGATGGGTTATTTCTGAGGCATTTTTAACAATAGTCAATGGCATTGACATGCCAAAAATCTGACATGGCATGGGAGAGTCCAATGTCATCTCCTGGATTAATTTTTGGTTCAATATCGATGTTTTCTTTACCGTTTTCCGTGATTTGTCAGTTACAAATGTAAACGAACACAAATAATTCGGTCTGAGCTAGATTTGTACTCAGGACCTTTTGTTAGTCCAATTGGGAAACTACTAAGGCACAACACTCTCATTTCAATTACTCACAACAGCTACATCATCGTGTTTTTTACATAGCCTACCTCTTGAAGTGATATGCCACCGATACAATATAGATTACCTATCTCTCGAGTCGAATGGTTCCTATTTGTATATTAATGTACTCTCTTATAATAATCATAAACATTTATTTGTTTGCTACATGGTCGAGTTTTGCATCTTACTAAATAATAGAAGTACATGACATTCAGCACCCCGTAGGGGTAAACAAATAATAAGATTGAATTCATAATTACTTCTACATTAAATTATACTGTTACATATCTAAATATAATACTACAAATACTCACAAAATACATGCATTTTAATATTTATGTTAATTCATTAATTATCTTATGTCTTTTACTCTTGTTGACATATCTAATATATTTAACAGATTATAATGAAATCATAAGAAATACTCTTATGATTTCATCATAATCAGTTTAGTCTCTCCGTGTATTACAGTACCGTAACATTTGCTGCTCAGCGATTTTGTTTAACATAGCTGCACTAATGACAATATATTTTATATTTGTGTAACTTGTACTAGTGAACAATAACTGGATAAAGTGTAAATATTTTCAATTTTATATGCGAATTTGCGAATGATCATTCCTTTTGCACAAAGTTCATGAAGAGCAGTTCCTAGAAGAGCAAATACCATACAGAGTGTAATTGACGTATATTTAAATGTAGCTAAACTGGCATGTGTGAGTGTGTGAGTAGTGTGTGTTCAGTTTTATTATGAAATAATCAGATAAATTAACGGTATTAAATATTTTTTTATGTTCATTTACATTTTTTTTATTGTAATTTAATATATATTGAAACTTGTTATCACTAAAACACCAAGAATCACAATTAAATGTGGGCCTTATATGTATAATAAATATACTTTTTCGCGAATTCACAAGGTGAAACTGCAATCAACGTAAATATCACCACAGCTTTCAATCGCAATCATATTTTTATTCTATATTTCTTTAATTTGGAAAATATAAATCAAAACAACATAATTAATTGATCTTAAAAAAATATAAATATTAAGAATTGTTATCCTCTTTTGTTGGCAATATTGTGATAATATTATGTCTATTTTCAAATGTGCATATTTTTTTATCATTTATTTAATTATTTTTTATTTTTAATTACAGATGTAATTTTATTATCGCTATGCTTATGGATGCTGCCAGTGGCCGTGAAATCTGGTGTGTTGCGAAGTTATGACCAGCAGGAAATACCATGCCATTCGTATGTTCTTGATGATCTTCTGCATGTGGACTGCTCCGCTGCAGGACTAACAGAGTTGCCTGCTGACTTGAATTATGAAGTAGGTATATTGGTCTATTACATTTTAGAAGTAATAGATATTACAATTAGAAGTCTAGATAGATAGATATGTGTTAAAAAGATATAATGTATAACACATTCAGAATAAAATGAATAAAAAAATATTTTAATCGAATTTAAGATGAAACACATAGTTGGTTTTTTAAATTGTTATTTAAGTGATCTATTGGTATATGTACTGTATGTATTATAATAATTATTAATGTCTTTTTGAAAACCTATTTACATAGATATATTAGGTAAAATGATAAGTCCTTTCTTTTCCCAAACTTTATCATCAAACGCTTTCGGTTTTTAACAAATCGTTCACTAGTAGTGAATGCCATGTGAATGTGGTCTCGCCAATTGTACAATTTCATAAGTGCAATAAAAATAAATACATAACAAAGATTTTTTTATATCATACTATATATAAAAAACTTTTTACTGCTAAACATTAATTAATATACGTACTTAAGTAAAGCGTTTAATATATATTTTTTTTATTTCAGGCCCATATACTCGACTTGTCAAATAACAACTTCGCAAAGTTTCCAGCTGAGCTCGAACGTTTCTCTAAAGTGGAATACTTGGATCTGTCTGGAAATCATTTAAGCAGCCCGTTGCCAGCATATATGCCTAATTTAAAAGATCTAAAAACACTGAATTTATCAAATAACAACTATGACGTTTGGGTGGCAACCAAACAAAGCTACACGATAACAATACTAGATTTATCTAAGAACAAAATCAATAAAATCGACGTCGGCGCTTTCAGTGAATTCCCTCGCTTGTACTTTCTTAATTTGTTCGAAAACAGAATCTATGATCTTCCATCGAATACATTTTCGGAAACGAAAAACTTGGAGACCCTCATTTTGTCCAGAAATTACTTTTCCGCCGTGCCAAATTTCCAATCGCCATCTTTGACGAGCCTTCACTTAAGCAACTGTCAAATAACAAATTTAACGATTGACTCATTGCTCGGTATGAATTCATTGCTGTTCATCGACCTGTCTATGAACCAGATTGAAAACATTCCTGATTATTTTGCGTCGCATACACTGCAAGAATTAGACTTAAGTTACAATGGTATAACGTCACTCACTGACAGTACTTTCTTATCATTGCCGCATTTAGCGGTGTTGGATTTGAGAGGAAACGACTTCAAAGAAGTATGGTCGACTTCACACTTCGCCTCAAACGAATTTTTGAGGGAAATTCACGTGAAAGGAAACCGATGGAGCTGTGAAGGTTTTAGTGTAAATCTGCTGCTTATGTATGAATTCTTAACAAGAGAACCGCCAAAAACTAAAGACATATCATCTCTAATTTGTTACTCTCCTTCAAATGTAACTCAAATGACTTGGCGACAGGCATATATAAGAACTTGGCATCCTGATGACTCTTCTGGGGAATCCTATACAGCGATAGCGGTGATGATTGGTATTGTTATAGGCATTATTCTAACTTCGTTTGTGTGTCGGGGACTGATAGCTGCGAATAGAGTAGACACTTCGACGATGTCGAGTCCAGAGACAACAGTTTTGAATCTCAATGGCACAACTCAGCCCGCCGATCCCGTGGTGATACGTATTCCTTTACAGGAAGACCTACCCCCGACTTACGACGAGGCTCTGCTTATGCCCCGGCTGGATACATCATTCCATTCTTTACCCGATTTTGTGGATGAAGATAGAAATGATAGGCGACGTTACCGTAGGTCTCGATCTATTGGTGATCTCACAGAATATAGACCTAGAACCATTGATAGACGCTCTATAAGACGTACAATTCAAATACATAACGATACCTTAAGTCTATAAAATACTTTAAGAAATATGTTAATTATATTTTATTTTAATAAAAGTAATTAAAAATTGCCCGTAATGGTTTTTATTGACATGATATGGTGGTATTAAAAACGCTGATTTTGGGTAGGTACATATCTATGTATCTGACCTTTCTAAAAGTAGGGTTGATTACCTACTAATTATTAATAATTACTGTTTATTAAAGAAAGACTTAAGTATCAAGAACATACATATTGGGTTACCATTAGTTCAACAGATTTCCGAAACGAAAAATATATTTATCAACACAAAAAGTACAGGGAAACAGACGAACTCTATCTAAAGCCTTCTTACTTATTATATAAACTTCGATTTTCTAATCGTAATTATGGTCAAACTTGTTCTCGATTAATATATCCCCAATTTAACACCACAGCTTTTCGTGGTAGTTTTAAATACTCTGCCACGAAGTGCTGGAATAATCTGCCTCCTCCTATCCTTAATTCAGTGACAGTTAGTTCTTTTAAACATAAATTATTCACTCACCTCTTTAAAGAACAAAAATCATTGTAGCAGGGAACACATATAATATAATAAGCATCTAAAACATGTACCAACTACACCATTTATGTACGTTATATATTTAAATATTATTAATAAATTTTATTATAATAAATTATCTCATTACATAACAATATACCTACTTAAATAATATACAATATTTACTAAATACATTAAATAAAATTGCATTTATCTTTACATACATTTTCATACCTATTTGTGAAATGGTCTTAATTTTAACGTTTTATTATCTTTAGTAATATTTACGTACGCGCTCTCGTGTGTGGTGGCCCCACTGAAAATCAGCGCTGTGGTATATGTATACTGCAGTATAAATGCTGAGTGGGAGTCACATTCAGCGTTACTAGTTTTAGCTTCTAGCTTTTAAGTTGTATAGTATATAAGATAAATAGCATCTAAGAATACTGTCATGCTGAATAAATGTCTTTATTATTATTATAAATCTGTAATGTTGAAACGTTGTCGTTAGCGACACCTAGTATCTTTTACTGAAAACGGTATTCATGTTCACTTACGTACGTTGCTAATCAGATGTGCTAAATATTATGCTTTGTTCTAGGCAATACTCACTAGATGGCGCTTATTCGTATTTATTATTATTCAATATATAATTAATATTTATTTAAGGACCCAAATATGGTATGTATTTCAAATGTGGTTAATATATATTATAACCTGCTTATTTAAACGTGTAATAAACTTTATATTTTTAAAAGACATCGAATAACATTAATATTATGTCCAAATAATACAAAATAAAACATTACATCATCAATGTAGGAGACATTACTCATTCAATCGATTTTCGTATAAAACATAATCCAGATTACTGGATAAACGCATATAATAATCTTTGCCATTCTTTATCAATTATCTACTATGATAACACGTCACGCTTTTGTCCATTCAGTGTTACCGTCTAATAGGATCCACACGCATTCTGAATTATTGTTATTTGTAATAACAATGAATAACAAAGCACCGGTTCTGATCATTAATCGTATGTGACGCCCATAAGCCATTAAGAGTGACCACAAGTGTTAAACATTTTTTTTGCTGCATGTGATAAATAAATAGCCGATTTGATAACGTAAGTACTATTTACCTAATCACGTTAGGTATAACTAAACACAATACCTATTTAAGCGATTTGAGTTATAATTTCACCTATATCTAGGTACCTACTAGATACTACAGTCAAAAAGTCTATATACATTCGCTATAATACTCCTCTAAAAGTATCTAATGTATTTTGTCTAAGGGCATGAGTTAATTTTTTATCAATCTAAATTCTTTGCTTGCCCGATTTAACTAAAATTTATATACTTTTCAATTTTGTAAAATATGTAATTGAAATGGCAGTTTTTCGGCTGACTATTGCTCTTACCATGCTTTCCGCATAAAGGGAATTACTATAAAATTGTTACCTATGTGTGTCTGTGTCTGTCTTGCATAAGGCTAGCCGGCTTCGACCAGTAGATATCTAGTAGATTAATTAAAATCAAAGCATATAGTAAATGAATGATGTAGCGTAATGTATAATATATAATTAGCTATTATTTTCATTACGTAATTAAATTTGCAGTGATTGGGCTGGAATGGAACTGGCAATTCCTTATGCCATAAATATCCGGTCTGAAAGTATTATTTATTTACACTTTCTTTATTGCACTATTTAAATATGCAATTGGCGAGCTTAATGCCATATGTCATTTAATTAATGCTCTATGACCTAACCATTGGGTAAAAACAGAAAGTAATCAATCGCTTTCTTTGTAAGAATATAAAAAAGTAGGTATGTGTATCTATCTGAGTCCTGAAAGATTTGAAAAAATATACCTAAAAGTAGGCATACTTTTGGTGACAAGGCTTTTGTGCCACAACAATAATTTCAAACTTAAAAAACCACACCTTTTTGATTACGCGTCAAAAAATAAACATGCCGCGCAAATAATTAAAGGTTATTTAAACATTGTTATGCTTTGGTTCATCCTAAATACAATATTCCTTTTTCTTATCTGTGTAAGATAACCTGGTAACACAGTTGTATCTATCTCAGGCACAACGCACCAGCAAATGAAATCTCTAAAAGTGTATCATAGTAATACGAGTATCATCCGTAGTCGATGGTATCCGACTCGAAAGATCATAAAGCCTGCTAAGATTGTATAATTATTTAAAATACAAATAGGTTTATTGAAATATTTTATTATTAATATTAAACTTTCACGCACAACCACATTGTGGAATCACCTTCCAGCAATGCAATTAAAAAAGCAATTATTTCCGAACCGATACGATATTGAAACCTTCAAGAAAAGAGCTTATTCCTTTTTAAAAGGCCGACAACGTACTTGCAATTGCCCTGGTACGTGCAATTCCCACTTACCATCAGGTGAGCCGTATGCTCGTTTGTCCCCTGTGTTATAAAAAAAAACTGTGCCAAAATTTGAGTACTAAAAGGAGTCGTTCTTGAAGTTTATAATTAAGGTGAATATAAAAAAGAGCCAAGAGTTTAATGCTTACCTAATATATTCTAGCTTTTGTATTAGGAAATCCGATAATTTTAGTATTCGTAAATTTTAAGCTAACTTTTACTATATAATGTTATAATCTTTAAAAAATATAAATATAAATACTCGACACTAAATTGAATGTATCATTAAATTTCACATGAACAGATAAGCTGTCGTTTGTCTTAAAAAAGGGATAAAGTCCCGGTAAACAGCTAGTATTTCATAATATTCTGTATTTTGATTTGTAGATTCATATACGTGTTTATTTAAAAAAAAACATTATATACATGACCTACATTACATACACATCTCATAACCTACTTAAGTACTCATATTTATTTAATACATAACGTAATAATCCTACATAAGTATAATCATGAAATCATTTGAGCTCTAAGTTACATGCGAAACACTTTACCATGCATTTATCTAGCAACAGTATACCTACGATTACTCAGACGCTCATATACTTATAATCGTTACTAGTTCTACTCGTTGAGTACAATATGCGGCTGTACATGGTCCTATTATAAATGTTTATCTGTATGTCTGTTAGATATTATTTTACTTCTAAACGGAAGAACAGATCCTAATTCATTCTGTTTTTTTTTATTTTATAACAAATAGACCTACATATATTTAGAACAGAAATATTACTGAATGTAGAAATTATGATGTGAAGGTATTTTGTATTGCCAGGACCAACAAAGTCTAAAACCTGAAACACACACAAATTAATATGTAGGTATACCAAATATAAAAAATAAATAGAATTACAATACAGAGGTAACAATGAGCGGCCTTATTGCAAATTACCAATTTCGTCCAAGAAACCTTACCTTATATTTATTACCAACTAGCTGTACTCGCGACTTTATTTTTCTAAAATAAAAGTAGCCTAAGTTACTCCTTGTTATTTCAGCTACCTGCCAAAAAAAATCCAGCCATTTCAGAGATTATCCGGAACAAACAGACAGACTAAAATTGTAAAAAATGTTAATCCGGTGTATGTACCGTATTTATACGGTACATACACATTTTTCATATGCATGTAGTAAAAAACGGTTATTTCAATATTACAAACAGACATTCTAATTTTACTTATATGTATAGATTCCGGCTTAAACCTGGCAACCCAATTGTTTATAAAGTAGTAAATTATCTAGCATATATATACACATTATCTTCATCACTTAACTGATACCGGTACATATTTCTAATGTCGTCTCGTAGACCATACCTATAAATTAAACAGTGGAAATCTCTGTCTGTCTATCAGCTTTGTCAAGCATTAGTGTAAATAGTAAAATATATCATAAAATTAATTCGTTTACTAAAAATTACATCCCTTTTCTCATTTCCATCAGCATTCTTTTTTTATCTTAAAATATAATCTATGTTCATCCTTGTTCAAACTATCTTCATATAAAATTTAATTAAAATTCGTTAAGCCGTTTAACAATGAAAAGTTAACAAAGAATCAACCAGTCACTTTTTAACATTTATAATATTAGTAGGTATGTATTGTATAGTGATGCGCAGGGTTGATGCTTACTTGTGGTTAGCATACTTAGCATGCTAAGACTCACAACAAACAACGATATAGCTCCGAGCAACGATGTTCCTGGTGAGCATCGTTACTCGGAGAATTCACGAGCTATATTTTCACAAGCTATTGGTCTACTTTTTCGGCGAATAAATAAACAAACGCCAAATGTAAATAAAGTCATAAATATAGTACCTACCTATATTTTACAATATTCTGTCACATATCGATTTAAATCAATGAATCATTCATTTGTTTGCAATCTTACATATGCAATTGTATATGACTAAATTAGTGGTCGAACATTCAGTCATAGGTAGGTACTTATATTATTTACAACACATACTTTATTCGTCATATGTCTTACAATTGAATACTAAGAAATTTACGTTATCTTGAAGTAATTTCATATTACAGAAGACCGAAGAGCTAGCAGCTACCTTGGACAAAGAATTAGTCTAGCTATTCAAAGAGGGAACGCTGCCAGTATCTTCAGAACTTTGCCTATTTATTATATTATATTTTTTAAGCTTTTTAATTTTAGGTTGTACCTAGTTGTACAATTAAGTTATGTAAATGATTTAATTAGTTATAATTTCATATTTATACTACAATTCAAAAGAAATTGCCAGACATGTCCATAAGACCCTGGCTTGTGAACCAGCAATAGGTTGATGCGAGCATAAGATAATCTGTTAAAACAAATTTCCTAATAAGAATTGAAACGAACCTTAAGCTCCCTATAAGTTATATAAACGGTTATCCGTTTCAGAAGTTTTCGGTGAAGAAACTCTGTTAGGAAACCGATTTCAGAAATTATTTCTAAAATAAAATGTCATAAAGGCCTTCTTACTCTCATTATATATAAAAAAGGTTTTTTATCTTATAAGGTTTTTGCTACTGACTTACCTATGTTAGCTGCCAAGCCGCTTGTTTTGTAAACTGTGCTTTTGGTTAAAGGGGTAGATAGGTTACGAAGGCATGACATAATGGTTTCCTGATTAGTAACGCATGAGAGTTAACATGGGTATCATATGATGACTTCATGATTACGCCCGTGGTGCTAAGCCTGTGTAAAATACACGGTTACCACGACTACAGTTTCTAACAGAGTGGTCAGAACTTTTAACCATTGGAATGAATTAAAAAAAATACTTCATAAATAATGTTTATGTAAAATAGAGCCTAAGCAAACTACCTAAATATAAGTATAATCATAAAATAAGTAACAAAGACATAACTAAATTGACATAACACAATGGTGATTCATGCATTATCTTTTGAAACAAAGTAAAATTCATTCGGTACAATTCATTGAATGTATTACACATTATTATATATATGCTATTTATTGATTATTGCTGAAAAATTGATCAAGTAACAATACCATAGTTGCATATTCATAAAAAATCTTATCTAACTAAATATAATAGAAACAGCGACCATAATAGATACTCTACAATTATAACAGACAATTCTCAGAAAAACTTGTACTTATATAATATATATTATTATACACATTTTAAAAGATTTTATATTTTATAGAACCTACGTTTTTTATTTGTTTAATATAAAGTTTTTATACGAGTGTTTTATTGTATTCGTCATATTCATAAGTAATGTTTTAATCAAAGTAAGTGTTCAGTAATTTAGAAAGCATAACATAATATCATATATATGATAATAATTTAGGACCAGTAAAATATGTCAAATTCATATCTATTTTAAAACTTAATTTGTGTTTTAATTGTAATATTGAATTATATTTGTTACTTATTTGCATCCTCCACATAAGTTATAAAAATAATTACAATATGCGTTTTATATCCAATTATGAAAAAAAAGTAAAATGTTAAAATAATAATATTGACTTCTAAAATATTCAACACTTCTTCAGTGAAACTCAATATTGTTAAACCTAACTGGCTAATCAAAAATATCTTTATATTCTAAATTGGTCATTAAGTTTAGAATTATGTCCCTTCCATGTACAATTATTTTAACTTCTTAACAGTCCTTCAATAAATGTCTGTGCTCCGAGTGTTGTTTCTAGTCTTTTTTATTTACCTATATAAACACAACAATTACAACAAATATACTTATTTATGAACATAGTATAAGAAATACATAAACTTATACTAACACAGAGACATATCTAATGATAAAGATGTATATACTAGTACTGCTCTATTATATTTAAGCATTTATTTTTTCAGGAATGCTGCAAACGTAAACACATATGTTCTACTCACTAGACAACATAAAATATGATCTGTGATTTTAATAACAGGTACGTTAACGTCTACGACCCAAATTCATATCACAATCTACAGTTTTATCAATAACTGATAACAAAGATAAAAATGGCTGTATGTACATAATTATAGGTACATGTGCACACTTACAAAAGGTCCGTGACAATAGTGTTTTGATACAAGGTCTGCCCTTCTTTTCGGTCTTAAGACGTGACGTGAAAGTAAAATGGATTAACCGCTATGCAAGCAGGTGTTCTAAGAGTAGTACCTCAGTCATCCTCGGATTTGGTGAAGATAATACAAGTGGCAATAACAATAAAATATTTGCAGGTAGTGATGAACAGGGTGACGTGATGATCTTTAAAGGTGCGGCGAGTATTCTGATTCTATTCACCCTGATTGAAAAAGGGGAGACGTATAATTTTGAAGATGAATATTCAGAGAGTCTCTGCAATCTTTGCCACTGCAGCGAAGACAACACAAATGTGGACTGTTCACGCAGAGGTCTTACAGAGATTCCAAATGGTATTGATGGAAAGGTAATTCATTATTAAACATTCAACATCACACAATCATTTTCTTGAGTAAAAAGTGCTTATAGTAATGGTACATCTTTTCTGTTATTGCAACAATTTTGATAACTATTTATTTGCAATCGATAGTGTGTTGGTCCCGTACTCAATCTGTGTATATTCACTGCAACAGCTATTTTTAACAGAAACTATACTTGTAGATTTATTTTTATGAACTTGCTGGCTTGTAGTACATGTGAGATATTTGCCAAATGTAAATTCTGTACTTAAGATTTACGATTTAATTTGAGATTTTCATTCTGTGTTGAATGAAAATCTTTGAACATTTTTTTAACACAATGTTTTACTGCTGTATAAATCAAATGCATAAAATTAATAACTATGGGTAACATAGTTATTGATTTTATGCATTTGATTTACTAACTACTAACTCAAAACATATATTCTTTTCCAGGTGAAATATCTAAATATTTCAAATAATGAATTCTCTAAGTTTCCCGTGAATTTAACAGTACTTGATAATTTGATTACATTGGACATCAGTGGAAATCTGCTTAGTGAAATATCTGAAAATGCCCTTAGAAATGTGACTAAACTGCAAATACTTGATTTGTCAAGTAACCAATTTGAATCGTGGTCCAAACTAAACCCGAACTATCTTCTTCGAGAAACACCGAACCTAAAAATATTGGATTTATCTCATAATAAATTTAAAGCAATGGATAATTTAAAGAACCATGAACTTCTTATAAGTCAGTCTTTGGAAGTTTTGATTTTGAACAATTGTGAAATAAACTCTATATATGGAAGATCATTTATAAGCGGACTTACGAATTTACAAGAATTACAATTAAATTCAAATCCTTTATTGAGATTTCTTGACTTGGTTTCACCGTCTTTGAGGAAACTCTATATTAGTAACACTCAACTTACTTCAACAGAATATACGGAATTCAGTTATTTATCTTCACTAGTCTACCTACAGTTGTCACATAACTACCGGTTGAAATTATCATCAACTAGATTACTTTCTGATACAGTTAAATTCCTAGATATCTCTTATTGTAATTTACTAAAGCCCAATATACAGGGATTTCCAAATTTAAAAAAAGCTATAATTAGTCACAATACGATCAGATATTTAGTAAGTAACGAATTTGTTAATAATACAAAGTTAGAACATTTAGATTTGTCTTATAATAATATTGGATCTCTAAGATCAGACACTTTTCGTGGGCTAGTTTTATTAAACAATTTAGATTTATCTTGGAATGAAATAGGCATATTACCTGAAAATTGTTTACAAGAACTGCCATCATTGAGTCGTATTAGCCTATCTAGAAATTATCTTACACATATTGGTCACTTAAAATCTGATTCACTTACAGATTTAGATGTAAGTTCGTGTGAAATTAGTGCTATAGGAAAGGACTCATTAGAAGGTTTACAGTCTCTCCTTTATTTGGATTTGTCTCACAATGTCATTTCGCACATTCCTGACAGTATTTCTTCTAACACCCTTAAACATTTGAATTTGAATGTCAATAGAATAAGTTTTATAAATAATTTCACATTTTTTATGCTTCCACGACTAACGACTTTATCAGTGATTGGTAATAGATTTACGATTATATGGAAAAGGTCTTATTTTCAATCAAATCCGTATTTGGAAAGACTTGAAGTAAGCGATAATATGTGGCGATGTGATTGCAAAGACGATAATATGTATGACTTTTTTGAATTTCTAACACTAGAACCATACGGAAAAGAAGATTCATACAATCTTATATGTAACAGTCCCTTGAATGTAATTGGGCAAACATGGTTAGAAGCTTGTTACTTTACATGGTATCCAGCCGAAAAGGCGCCTAATCCAGATGGTTTGATTTGGTTTTTAGTTGTAATGATTATAGGTTTAGCATCCTGCATTGCAATAGTGAATTGCATTAGAAATTCTATGAAACGACGTTTAGCAACAGTACAAGCAGAAAGGGAAAGACAAGCAGAAGAAATGAGAGACAGATTAAGACAACAAAGAATACGTGCAGAACAAGAAGAATTGTGTAATACTCCCGATCCTAGGGATTTAATACCACCTCCCTCATACGATGAAGCTCTTACAATGCCTAAGTTGAGCTCTTCTTGCCATTCATTATGTGAGACAGGTACAGGTAAAACAAAACGGAGAAGAGGGCGAAGAAAAACCAAGTCAAGTGGAGATTTATTAGACGAGACAGAAAGAAATGGTGATTTGCCTGTACATAATGAATTAGAACTTACCGAGTTAGGTGACGATAACGATAGACAAAGACGAAGAAGAAGACAACGGAGGTGTAGTCAGGAAATCAATGAACTTGAGCATTCACCTGGCGTTCGTCGAAGGCGTATGTCAGAATATGGTATAGTCGATAACAGCATTGATATTGAAGTTGAGGCTGAATTGACACAACCTTTACGTGAAAGAACAAGGAGACACTCTGGTGATAATACTGAATTAAGAGAAAGTGACTTATAGTGACTTTATAAACAAACTGAAAATATTGTGTGCATTTCTTTGTGTAAACGCACATAACAATTTTAGTTGGATATACTTTAATTATTCGTTACCTATTAGATATAGTATTATTCTATTGTTGATTATTTTTGTAATTGATCAATAGACTATTAAGCATATAAATAATAAAACTATACTGATTTAAGTATTTTATAAGTTCTGTAAATGATATGTATTTATTTATTGTAGAAGTAAAAGGTCATGAACAATGACGTCAAGAAAAGTATGAACTTCTGATTATTAGTACAATATAAAATGACTAACTTTGTACACCATCATCTTGACCCCAGCATGAGTTTGGGTCAACTATTAAATCGTTTCTGATTCACAAGACTGACTTCTGAACTTCTAAGTCAAAAGTTTAGGTAAATATTCTCTCATCAATAGTTGACACAAGTATTCTTTGAGAAGCCAGATTGGATATATTTTCAATAACTGCCATTGTCCCATAGACCCACACCGATTTGTAGTTTTAGCCCTTTACGCATAAAAATAAACCCTCCCATTAATTTTATTTACAGCTTCGAATTTTACAGAAATCTAATCAGCGTAAACAATCATTTCTCCAATAGTTAATATAACTTTCAATTGGTTTATATTTTTAAATTTACTTTAGTTTTTAATATACAATATGACAAATATCTATACAGTAAGTGTTCATGGACAGATTTGATGATGAATTTCTATTGTAGTTACAGTAGATCCACCCACCGTTTTTGAATTTGTTAGATCGGTCTCAACGAGTACCTACCATTATTATGGTTTGATGATGGAGCCATCACAAGATTTGTGGTATAGTACATCATATAATTTGTAGAAGTAATCATAATCTTGTAAAATTTTGTTATTAAATTGTTTTTTAATGTAATTTGTTATTTTATTGCCTTTGAATTTACGTATAGTATACGTACAGTCTCTACACTGTTGATCTAGTCTAGTGCATTTGGCGTACAGTACGTCAGTAGAAAATGATAGGATGAGGCTGAAGTCAGCTCCATTATCTCATCGCAGCGAATTCACCAAAATTATCAGCAATGTTGATCACCAACTGAATTGAATCACCAACGACCAGGATTATGGTATGTTACACTGTTAGTAATGCGGCTGTAATTTCTAAGTACCAACAAAGCCAGCCTATCCCCTGTTACGTTATTGTTGTACGGTAGAGTTCCTCTGAAAATATAATAATAAAGCAATTGCTATTTATTACCCACAGTAGATACCTAACTGAGAAATTATCTCTCAGATATCATTATCTGTATTTCATATTTTGATATAACATACCTGTATGGATATACTTATCGCTGTTATGAAATGTGTATAAACTGGCCCCCTGCTAAGTTTAATTTGAATATACTCAGACAATCACATCATATAGGCCATATCTACACAGGACACATTTTTATTAATAATGCCCTTCATTTTATTTTTCTTTTAATGTTATATAAATTTATAAAAGAAATATATTAATAATTTATTTCTTTTATAAATTTATATAACATTAACATTAACATTAACAAAAGAAATAGGAGCGTGTATGAGTTTTTTATTTGATGCTTCTTTCATAAACACAGGGGAATATACTTTCAAACCTTAAAAGATACATAGTCTAATATTTTTGTTGTTGTCTAATCATTATAATACGATATATATTATGATGTACATAATGCATTGATATGTACATATATATATACATATATATATATATATTACACGATATCCTATTCAGAAACAATCGAGTATATACAAATAGGTATATAAAATAGAATTTTCAACATGAGTTAACTAGGAAGATAGGCGTAATATGAAGGTTTTTATTATTTAGATCTAGGTCTAGATAGGAAGGTCTTGCAAAATAAAAGTTAAAGTAAATGCAATATGGCAGACATGTTATAATGACTATACTACCACAGATAACATAATATTACATAATACTACTATGTAATATTATGTTTTCTGTGATACTACTATTGTTATGAGATATTAGGTAAAGATATGGAACGCTGGAACCTAAGTGGTCTCGGACAGTACAGTTTCAGAGAAGCTTCCTCCCGCGTAAGTAAATGAACTACCAGCCGAGGTTTTCTCGAGAAACTACAGCATGGGGTTTTTCAATAAGGGTATATTAAGGTTTGTTATAGGTCGGCAACGCGCATGTGACACCCCTGGTGTTTCAGGCGTCCATAGGCTACGGTAACCGTTTACCATCAGATGGGCTGGATGCTTGTTTGCCATCTACGTGATATAAAAAAAAGGTAACGATATATACCTAGGTAAAGATTTCGAGATACAGATTGTACGAAGGGTTAGTACTGACTTTGTACTATTCTTTATACTTGTTTATTAGCGTGTTTCGTTTGAAGGGTAAGAAGAAGAAGAAGCAGTACGATTTCAGATGACGCTTAAGGGATACCACAGAACTCAGATGAGGACGTAATAATGTAACGTGATGCCGTTCATGTTCATATATAGATAACGGCTGCCACTTAGGTACCATCAGGTGGGCCACATGATTTCGCCCGTCAGCTCGTGTGCCCCTCCAATTAAAACAAAATTGTGATTGTTATCAGTATTTGCAGATAAGTAATTTAATCATTTATATATATATTCCTCTTGTGGTATGGCATTCACCTCGATTTTAGGGTATTTCGCCAAAAACAGATTTCAGATAAATGTATTATGTCACTTGATGTGAATGAAAAGAGGTTGGTACCATATAGTCACGAAAATAAAATGTCAGTCATCTAACAGCTGAAATAAATTTGTTGGTATCTCTAGAATACGCGAAAGAGCGCCATCTATATAATTTATTTGTCAATATTTTACTATATCATATTTAAGATAGTCGATATTTTACTATATCATATTTAAGATATAATTGTAACATAATGTTCCATTATATTTATGTCTTCTTATGGAAATAAGTCTAATTAAGTAAGAAAATTAAATATTAAAGAAAATATCTGAGTCACTGTAACCAGTTTTGAAAGTTGCGTTATAGGGGGAAGGGGATTTTTAGCAATGTGGACTAATAAGTAACTACTTTACTAGCAATAAACTATGTCAGATTGACCTCCAACTGCTCCAAGTGGTTCCCCCTGGAATCCATCGTGATAAAATTATGGTGAATTTATCACGACGGGCTCACAGACCTAACCTCATACTCATCTTATCGTCCTCCACTGGTACCCCGCCAGCGTAAACGGTTAGCGCAAGCGAGTGCATCATTCCATCATCCATACGAAAAAAAGTTGAAGTAGTGACCTCTACACTTTTCAGTGTAAAATGCAAAATGTCGTCCTCAGTGATAGTTACAGCTTCGTTTGTAGATGGCGCCACTTGTATCACAATACTTTTTACTTTGGTGGGAAAAAAGTTAACGTATCTTATCAAGTATAGGATTATATTTTGAGTGAATAATCTACACAGACTTTTCTTATCTGTGGAATCACTTTGTATTAAAAAATATCTTAAATCTAAAAAGTAAAATTTTACCTTCATTTAAAAAAGCAACAGGTAAGTTTTTAATATGATGAGTGTTAGCTGATTTGCATTCCGAGTGATTGAAATGAATGTCAAATTATGAAAATAAGGTTAATTTTTCTATCATTACATCTAAGCGATGTAGTTATTTCGAATGTTGACTATTTATTTAAATTTTTTTGTTCAGTAGGTATACCCATTACGATTAACCGCCTATAGCTACTCAGGTTTCCAGTAGTAATTAAAACAAAGTAATTTTACTCAACCAATTTATATCTCGTTGAAAAAAATACATCATTTCATAGAAAATATGTTTATAAAACTATTATTGTTCATTAAATTGTTCCACTTAATAATTAGTTCCTGATTGGTTTTATATTACCGCGATAATAAATTAAATTAATTGCCTATTTAAAAAATAAATAGGTCTATTCATATAAGCGCAGCAAATAGAAAGTAAAAAGCAATTCTTAATTACGACATAAAACAATTGCAAATATAAAATAAAACTAGACAATTATACGTAATGGAGGACACAATCGAAATAATTATATACATACAAATATGAATAGCGGGAATTACTTACAATAAATGGTATCACATTCTTAAATACTAATATTAAACTAGAATAAAAATAACTTCAGAGGAACTTAATGTTTAGCCAGACCACTAAAGAATGAAGAATTCTCTATGGAAAAATGAGATAATAACCATAGCCAATTATTATTTTCGTTGTTATCATATTATTGTCTATGCTGGGTAGTAAGTACACAACCATTGAAATTTTATAGATCAAGAATTGTACAAAACCAAACAGAAATATCTATATAGACGTACGTACAACATAATAAAATTATTGTACCTACAAATACACATTTAGCTACGTAGGTAATCTAGAGAAATATAATAATTTCTAAAAACATAGGTTTATTACTAACATGAACATGGCAACACTTTTTACACGTATAAAAATATGATTTACTTATTGCGCATTATACTCTCATAAATATTTATACCACTAACAAGTTAAAGGCACCGTCGACTACAAACACACTTTGGCAGCAAATATCAATCTACATTTAAAAAGTACCAATCAAATTTACCAGGTCCTTACACATAAAACGATTTGCTCCAACTATGCACACAAAATAATCACAGAATTTCGCCAATAGTGAAGTGTTTGCTGACTGACACTGTTTTACACGAAGTGCTAAGGTTTCTTTTGTTACTTTTGTTAAAATTAAACTTCAAGTGGTTGACTTGCGTGCATTAATATCTGTTGAACGCGTGATTATGATGTCTCCAGCATTTGACCTACTTCTGGTGACTAGTTCTGGTGTTTTTGGCTTTTGAATTTCCGCCAGCTTTATTCGGACCCTTCCCATATCTGGTGAATAAACTGGAACGTAATCGCGGGATGGTGATAGAAAATCAGAATCTGTAATTTGATCACCATTAATGAGAGGCTGGGAGTAATCAGAATCGGCGTTACCATTTAATCTAGGTGTTTCATCGCCATTCAAAGGTACGAAAATATCTACACTAGATAAAGAATTTGTGTCCTTTCTAGAATCAGGAGAAGCTGGTGCCGATTCCAACGATGTATCTAGTGTTGGAATTTGTTTTTGTTCTACTAAATTATTGTCTTTTGAGCTATTCTTATTCTGATTTGTATCCCTAGGACTATCAGTCCTCATACCATTATTGTCACTGTACTTAAATCCATTGGCAACATCACCATTTTCACTCTTTCTTTGAATTGGTTCATGTGTGGGTACTCTTTCGTATTTCCCATTAACCGGCTTTTCTCCAGGGGGCTCTAAACCTGCGGGTTTGCCTAATAGTGATCTATTCATATCTACCATTTCCTTTGATGCTTTTTCTACGTCTCTTTTCTGCTGTCTTAATATTCTTTTATCTCTTCGTTTTCTTATTTGTCCTTTGACGATAGCAAACCCAATTAACCCGACAAGAAGCACAACTATTATTGCAATACAAACATAAGTGCCTGTTTTATGTGGAACCTCTTTTTTAACGGTAGTTGGAGCTGCACCTAGATTTTCAGATGCCTGAGTTACTCTTATGTGTTCTGACACTGTGGTATCTCGTGATACGGGAACTGTTGCCAAATATTCCGTGGGAGCAATAGTAACATCTGATTTTATTTGCCAATCTGAACCACCTTCGTAAACAGATGGGGCTTCCGGGACTGGAAATTCTGTACCATTATTGAAATCTTCAAAAACTCGACGTACAGGTCCTGGATTAAGTCCCACGAAAACAGGAGTAACAGCTTCTGTTGTATCTTCAATAATATCTTCAAAGAACGGTATAAAACCCGAACCAGATCCTTCTCCTGAACCTTCTTGGGGATCAAGAGTCGTAGTAGCAATAGTATAAGCTGGAAACACTTCATCATTTTCAAAAAATCTTGAATCAAGCTTCCCAGCTTCTAACGGTACAATTATACCGGCAACCGTCGTACTCTCGGCTTCACCAGACCCTTCAATATTATCTAAAGGAGACTGAGAAGTAATGTGACCAACTTTCATAAATTGCTTAACATCATCGTCGTCATTTTCATTATCCCCCTGAATAACATTTCCATCCTCTAAATCGTTACTGGCTACTAAAGGCATGGATTTTAAAGCAGTAGTTTCTTTGCCAATACGTTCTGCATCTATTGGCTGATCACCCATCATCATATCTAGATAATTTGGTTCTGATTTTGGAATTTTACACACATCCTTTGTTTTCAATTCTAACCAAGATCGACCTTTTACTTTTTCAGGCACAACACATGCAACTGCATCAATAAATACATTTGCAAGGAGTAGCCGATCCCGTGCCATAATGTTTTCACAGGAGCAATTTAGAGGATTACCTTCTAATTCTAAATGTTCCAAACCTACGAGATGAACGAAATTCGAAGGCACATCTTCCAACAGATTGTTAGTTAAATCTAACGAACTAACACTGGTGGGCAATTGGGTTAGGGAAAGCGTCTGTATCCTGTTATTGGCGAGATTGAGATGTACCAGTTTTTTTGCATTATGTAAGAATTTATTAAGGTTCATTATTCCATTCGTGGAGAGGTCCAATGTTACGACTTCAGTAAGTCGATCAAGCTCGTGAGCTAGTTTAGTAATGTTGTTATGTGACAAATCCAATATATTTATATTGTGATGTTTTTGCCGGAGTGTAAATTTATACAGTTTGAGGAGATCACTGCATGTAGCACGATGGAGTCCATCGCGCGTGGTACTGCACACGCACCCATCTGGACACACCGCTGCCAAGCTCGGGACCGTTAATAAAAATACTGATAGAAGAAAAACGGCTCTTTGGATCCACATCGCCATTATTTAAATTCAGCACCTGAAAAAAGAAAAAAAAGTAATTTAATGTATTATACTAATTATAATTTTTATTTATATTGCTGAAACATGCAACAAATAACTAATATATATATCTACTAATATACAGATATATATAGATATCTACTAATAACTTTATAAGACAATTTAAATCTGTGCATTACATGCACCTGCCTGACACATCCATAACTTATATACCCTACCTTCATGTATATACCTACTTTCGATAAACACTAACTAAAATATAAACATTGTTACAGAAGTACCGGATAAAGAATATATTCTCTAACTACGTAATAACCGGTTATTCTGATCGGCAGTTTGAAGCAATTAAATAAATCACGACGTCCCTAGTCACAATTTGTTGAATAAATAACTGAGTGATATACGAGCACGGTGAGCGCTCCCCAGGTCTATTACTGACTCCGCCTCTCCAATTACTGCAACTGCACTTATAAGCCAATTTGAATATAGGTACGAACTTCCTTTAAATGATAACGGCTTCTTGGTCTAGGACACAATATCAAACTGTCATAGATACAGCAATGACTTTACAAAACTCTTCTTTATCCCATAATTTTACTCTTGTATAATTTTAATTTACACGTTGATATACGCGTGTGTTTATTGAACTGATTAATACGTAATTTAATGATGCTACAGTAGATATATTTGATTTCTTAATAAACTATCTGTTATTCGTAACTTTGTTTGCATCAACTACAAACTTTCATTATTAATTTCACTTGCTTCTAGATTACTTTTTGTAATTCAAGATAGGTTTTATCCTATATTCTATTGTCAGGACGACAGCTTCGTGAGAATAGGTTATAGGAGGACGTTAATTTTAATGAAATTTGATATGAACCTCCATATCAAATTTCATTAAAATTCCGTCAGCCGTTTATTATACGTGAAAAAGTAGCAAACAGACACACAGTCAGACAAACTTTCGCATCTATAATATTAAGTACTCATATGACATTATCCATGATAATGTCATATGAGTACTTAATATCAAAAAAGACTACAAGTTTATGAAATTCGACAGTCAGTTACTTATAAACCATTATTAAATTAAAATATAAATCATAACCATAGTAATGGTAGAGACAAACGTAGATATGCTTTTTTTAACCAATTCTGTCAAAATATGTAAATTTTTAAAATTTATTTTTTTAATTATAAGGACCTAAAACGCCAACGGGTTGAAATAAGTAACCATACTGCAACAATCAATGAGAGCATGGCGAATCATAGTTAATTGACAAGTTGTGTCAACCAAAAATCTTACCCGACGTAAAGACCGTTAATTGAACTATCAAGGCCGTCAAAAAACGCAACAATTTATAGCAAACATCAGTTTCAAACAATTTACAATACTAATTGCAACGTGACATAATCACCCGCTAGCTATATGTAGCCGTATGCCGATGCTGTATACTACTACTACGTACAAAACATACAAAATGGTTAATTCTATTTTGATCTACGTAACAACATCCTGACTGCACTTGGCCGGCGCTCGCTCCAGAAGTGGTTCAATGTTATCCTAACAGGAAGCCGACGGTTAACCATTTGTGCGAATATGAGGAGCACAACGTCAAAACTATCTTCATGTGGGGTGTGACTGAAAAAATGATTCGGTCATGCGTAATGGTTTCGAAGAGTGTCGCAAAATAACAAATGTATCCTTATATACTCGTATACTAGTGGTCGACCAGTGCTCGAAATTCGACCTTAATAAATTCAATATTCAGTAAGACTTTAGACAAATAATATTAAAAAAAAATATTAATCCTTTCTCAATTTGACCACACACTTTAACAATAAACAAAAGAGTATATGAGTATGTGTGTGCGAAATACTTGGTAATTTGTCTAATGTTTTGTTTATTGTTTTAATGTATTTTTATTCCATGATTTAAAAAATATATTAGCATTTTGCACTACTTCTATATATAAATTTATACTCCTCCGTCCGTGCAAATTTCGTAAAAAAGTACAAAAATTATGTTTCACTTACAGTTAATACTTTTGTACCTATTTATGTTTGTTACCTTACTTCACAAAAACTGCTGAATTGATTCGGATAAAAGTTAATGTAAACATTTTAATATGTATAATTTAACCGCTGTAGATGGCGCTGCTAATAAGCCTTTATATCTAGTACGTAATTACTTGTTATTATCGATGACAAAAATAATCATCATCTATGCTGAATTAATGAAGATGTCGCGTAAGACAAATTATATAAAACTCCCTCTTTTTAAAGTCGGCTAAAAAACGTCCAAGAGTCTCTTTTCTATTTTCTAATACATCTGCATTGGTATTATAGTATATGTTATTTCGATGTTATTGTAGCACATTTTGGTCACTTGGCAAATTTTGGGATAAAAATTAAGAATAAATAAGTTGGGTAACAAGGTCTTGTTTGATGGTTGCACAGAGTAATAACTGATACGTAGTTTATGACATATTTAAGCAAAGATACAATAGGCGTTGTGTAAACATAAGATATAATGGATTTTAAATCTCGACAATAAAAAAATAGTGGTTAATGATTTTTAAAGACAAAAACAAAAATAAATATCGTATACGACGTGAAGTTTATAACGCTAAGAGCCTATCGTTAAACAGCGGCAAGAAAGGCTTGGTGCAAGTTACAAGAAATGGCCCTTTAAAATGTTAATATTTTATTAAAATAAAAAAAATAAACAATTAAAACACTTTTGATAAATGAATGCATGAATAAAGGTATTCTGAATTTGTTATCTTTATATAGTATAAAATGAAGTCGCTTCCGGTGTGTATGTCTATGTCGCTTAAATCTTATAAACTATGCAACGGATTTTAATGCAGCTTTTAGCAATAGATATGAGTGATTCAAGAGGAAGGTTTATTATAATGTTTAATACATCTACATCGGTGATCCGTGAGAAGCCGGTGCGGGTAGATAGTACTATATACAATGTATCAAAAACAAAGTAATTAATTCCAATTGCATCAGCTTTTTTTTAATGTAATGGCAATGACTAACAACCTGATGTCCCACTTGATGGTGAAAGTGGTAACCTTTGCATATATCATAAAATATATTAATTTTATTTACAAAAACTTAAATATTGTCAACACTAAACGAAATAGTATCAAAATGATTTATAGTTTGAAAGTTGGAATGTAAGGATTGCAATATTTGGGAGCAAACTATATAGCAAACAGCCGCACTATACACTCACACGCAATACACACATATATAGCATGTTTGACGGATTGTATAGTACATTCTAGAGGTACTGAACATCATTATACTTCTGCGGACCCAGTGCATGTAGATTGAGCTGTATTGTCTTAATATTTTAGTAACATAGTTTACAAGTAGTTTACTGACACAATATTGATCATGAGTATTTGACTTAAATAAAGAAAATAACAATCCCATCAAAAACATAAATGTGAAATGATAGCCGAGTTTAACATTATGATATATGCCTTGATTGTTGACTTCTTCGACAAAAGAGGTGAGATCTAAATGGGTGCCAAGTTCAATGGTCTGTCCTGAAATGTATTTATAACAATATAAAATATCATTTCTTCTTATAACTAGGATAATATACTTTAGCCTAAGGTCTAACTTGGCCAGTTCTCATATACCAATTATTACTTTCGATTGCTAGTTACTACTAATAATAAAATAGGAACCGACAAGTAACATGTTTAGAACTTGCGAAGGCTACAGTATATTTCGTATATGAAAACTAGCCAAGTTAGACCTTAGGCTAAAGTATATTATCCTAGTTATAAGAAGAAATGATATTTTATATTGTTATAAATACATTTCAGGACAGACCATTGAACTTGGCACCCATTTAGATCTCACCTCTTTTGTCGAAGAAGTCAACAATCAAGGCATATATCATAATGTTAAACTCGGCTATCATTTCACATTTATGTTTTTGATGGGATATCATTACTTTTTGTTCATAAATTTTTAGTAAGTACTTATTTATAACAAAATGAATATCAAATTCTTTTTTTACACTACTATATTTTTCTGCGTTTACGGGGTAAAATTGTCTTTTTTTTGTTATTTTCTATATTTTCTTGAACCTTTGAAATGTTCGAGTGAATTGTCCATTCAGCATCCGGTTTTTTTTTTACGCGTTTTCTATTTATGATTAATTTAGCCAAGTCGGGGCGGTATAATGTGCGAAGACGGTTGTACTCTACAATTGAGCTCTCTTGTGCCTTAATTTGGCTCGGATCTACATTGATAAGATGTACTCCATCTAAGGTTTTAACTCTGGAGAGTCCAACATAGGCCTGCCCTTTACTAAATATAGAGGAACCTATGTCGAGAAGAGCACTGTCAAGGCTAAGGCCTTGTGATTTGTGAATAGTGATAGCATATGCTAAGCAAATAGGGAATTGTTCCCTGTGAACATATACATTACTTAATATTTGAAACTTGGTCTTGACTCGTTCTAGTTCGTAAATTAAGTTATGTTTAAATTGTATTGTAATTTTACGTGCGCTATTGCTGTTGTTGACGTCCCAATGTACTTTCTCTATTTTTCCAATGGATCCGTTTACCAGTCCTTTACTGACATCTACGTTTCTTCGCAACATTACACGTGCACCTATTTTTATCGTGATTACATTTTCTAAGCCAGCAGTTAGCGACGAATCATCCTCGTTTTTTTTAAGTACTTCATTTGCTCGTTTTTTTAAATACCGTGGACAGTCTATTTCGTCTATCGAATTTAATTTAATTTCTGGTTGCTCCATACTTGCTAACATTGCGGTATTAAACTGGTTACACATATTTTTAGTGGGAAATAAACATACTGTATTATCGGACAGCAGTCTAAAATAAGATATGATTTCTTTAAGCCGGTCGATTTGATTTTTAGCGGTTAATTTGAGAAGTCGATGAGATAAAGTGCAACTGTCTTGACTTGTTACTATACCCATTCTTAAACGATTTAACATTTCGCCGAAG